TATATTTGGAAGAGGATAACCTGTGATAACTCAAAGTAATATAATGAGGGAAAGGATTACGAGTAGAACGATTACCTTTCCGGAGGGCAATTGGAAGGTCGGACTCAAGTTGTTGGACTAGAAGGGACAAAGGTGGTGGCACCAGAGTAGAGTCGGTAGGGGCCCCAGTAAGAAGGCGAGAGCGTTGTTGACGATGATAAACTTGAAGGGGAGGTGGAGGTGGTGGGTCGGGTGACACAACAGATACAGGAGGAGTATCAAAGACAAGAGGGGTGGGTGAAGGGGCAAGGACAGGTGTAGAAGGAGAGGAAATAGAAGGAAAGTAGAAAGAAGACTCGAGAAAGGTGACATCTGTTGAAATTAAATAGCGACGAAGGGAGGGTGAGAAACATTTATACCCTTTCTTAGACCTAGGATACCCTAAAAAGACACATTTGTAAGACCGAGCAGATAATTTGTCAAGACCAGGACTGTGATTATGGACGAAACAAGTAGATCCAAAGATGCGAGGAGGTAGAGGGTGGAGAGGTTGATTAGGGAACAAAATAGAGTGAGGTATTTGATTGTTGAGAACAGAAGATGGCATGCGATTGATGAGATAGCATGGAGTGAGAACAACATCACCCCAAAAAGGTTGAGGAACGTGACTATAAAGTAAGAAGGTGCGAGTGGTCTCAATTAAGTGTCTATATTTGCGGTCGGCCACCCCATTTTGTTGAGGGGTATATGCACAAGATGTCTGATGCAAAATACCATGGGAAGCCAGGAAGGCTTGAAAGGAGTGAGAGAGGTATTAAGGAGAATTATCATTATGAAACTTACGAATAGAAACACCAAATTGATTCTGAATTTTATTATAAAAGGATTGAAATATAGAAAATAATTTAGATCGAGTTTTCATTAAAAATAACCAAGTACATAGAGAATAATCATCAATAAAAGTTACAAAATATTGAAATCCTAAAGTGGACCTAACCCAACTCGGCCCCCAAATATTAGAGTGAACTAAAGCAAAAAGAGACAACGCTCGGTTGGGGACACTCCGAGAAAAGGAATTATGACTATATTTGCCTAATTGACACGATTCACATGACAAATGAGACAACTTAGACAAATGTGATACAAGGTGTTGAAGCTTAGCAAGGCTAGGATGACTTAATTGGGCATGGATGAGAGAAGGGGAATCCACCACCAAACCAGCAGGAGCAGAAGTGCGTAGGTGATAAAGGCCATGGGACTCACATCCGATGCCAATCATCCGTCCCGAACTCCAGTCTTGTAAGAAAACAGAATCTTTAGTAAAAGAGATAAGACAATCAAGAGAGCGAGTAAGACGACTAAGTGATAATAAATTAAAGGGAGACTCTGGGACAAAGAACATTGTCAATGAAGAAAGAAGGAGAGAGATGGACAGTACCAACACCATGAGATGGGGCACGAGAGCCATTAGTCATAGTGATAGAGGGTAAATAACTAGAAGTAGAAAGAGAGGAGAAAAGAGACTGATTACCAGAAATATGACAAGTAACACCAGAATCTAAGACCTAAGGGCCAAGAGAAGTGGAGTGAGTGAGACCAACAAACGAAGGGCCTGTGTCCACAACAGAGGCAGTGGAATTGGAAGCTTGGCGTTCCTCATACCATTTAAGGAAGTCATGGAAGAGAGCTGGAGGTCCAGATCCAAACCCATAAGAGGGGGTGGCACCAAATGCAGTAGATACAGGGGAGGTAGCATGGGCAACAATAGTGACATCGGTCAATGGCGAGTGGGATGACCATGTAAGACATAACATCGGTCAATTATGTGACCAAGTTTGTGACAGTGATCACACTTGGGACGACCTTTGTCCGGTTTGCGAGAACGCTGACGATCATCACGTTGAGAAACCAAAGCAGAGGAGTCACCAATGGGAGTGGAAGAAGGTATGTCAGGGGAAGATTTGCAGGGCACACGCAACAGGGTGGACCAAGTCGAGTTCAAGCTAGGCACGGTTGGAGATCCAAGAATCTGATCACGAATGGAAGAGTACTCATCAGGAAGCCCATAGAAACATTGAGTATCATTGGTGTACAACAATCGTGCCTGTTCCCATACATCAACATAGGTCTCATGAGCACGAAAAATTTGCTTGAGGGATGAATGGTCGACTTAAGGACACTACAAGTTTGAGCATCAATTTTTGACCACCGAGGACGATCTTTCTCATCAACGGAAGCAGCTGTCTGGTTAAGGTGAGCAACATAATCCTGTCCCTTAAGCCAAAGCTTGATATTAGAAGCCCAAGTGTCATAATTGGTTCCATCTAATTTGTCAATGAAAAGTGGGACATTGACATAGTTAGTATAAATAGAGGAGTCAGGCCGAACAACAGTAAGAGAAGCCATATATGCTGGAAGAGGAGAGAGAAATAGCAACGGGAGAGAGAAAATGGCCTGGGAAGGAAGGGACCCGTGACAAACCAAGTCCGATCAAGAAAAAAATAGCAGATCGGGGTAAAGGACATCGGGGCGAGTCCGGTGCCGGTGATCGCTGCCAAAAAAGTGGTCGAACGCGCCGCCACGTGCGGCGGCCGGCGGAGAGGAGAGAGAAAATGCGCGAGAACAGGATCGACATGTTTGGGCGCGTGCGACCGTCGTTCGCTGTGTGACTGGTGGCATTGGGTTTGTCGGAGCAAGGCATGTTGGGTGGGTGGGTCGCTGACCGAAAAGCTGACGGCAACGGTGGTGGACTGCGCCAACAGCAAAGGAAAACGCCGAAAAATAGAGAAAAACAGTCGAAAAGAGGCACGACGAGGTGGGTTGCCGGAAAACGGAATGAGACACGTTTTCCGGGCACCGATGAATAATAAGTCCACCGGGAGGTCAAGGATGAGGCTTTAGATACCATGTTGAGAGAAATGGTAAATAGAATAAACATTTCCGTATGTATTGCAAAATGAAAGATATGTTTATATACAAAATAGTGGGCCTAAGCCCATGTGGTCAAACTATAGCTAACAAATATGAAAGACTATCATGCATAATTAACACTCTGTATTGTCTTTGCCTAGGATTTGTACAATTGTCTTTAGTATTTGATCTTTGTATGCATTTGTAAAAACTTCTGTTTGTGAACATTAAAATATAACTTTTGAGGGGTACTAGATCGTTCTTTTATCTAACAAAAGTGATCTGGATGATGAAATGTGAAATTGGAAGTGATATTGTCATGAACTTTGGGTAAGTTGCCTATAATAATGGATAGGCACAAGGGGGTCTACTATGGAGGTTGGGTACACAATTTGTCAGTGATGAAAGCTGAGAATAGTGGAAAGGAGGCTTCTAGATTAGGAGTGATTGTGACACTCTCTACCATATCATAATTAATGCAATAAGTAGAATTAATTCAAAAGAATTCATCATTAATGAAAGTCAAGTAATCCAACAAGAATATCGCATTTTAACTAAACAATAACTAACTGAAATTCAATTGAAATCTAATAATAAAAATAACAATTGTCCTAAAAACATAACAAAAGAAATAAAATCCTAACTAAGTCCTAATGTCACATTTTATTAGAGCAAAGATCCCAAAAGCAAGAACTAGGCCTTATTGCTGACATCATCAACATTATGATGCATCTAATCTGCAACATCCAAAGGAAGCAATCACAAGAAACGGGGAGTGAGAAACATCTCACTCGAACATATGACTAAAATATAGCTGTATAGCCCAAACACACGCAACAATACAATGAGCAATTAAATCATGGCAGCAACATGGCAATCACGGGTGTGCCATTTGCTACCATGGGGAGAAATTCACTACAGAGAAGTGCAAAAATTGCACAACTCACACCTAACTCAATTCTCTTAATTCAAACAATTACAAGTGCTATTAACGTTCAAATATTCATCCATAACTCTACAATTTACTCATTCATGCAAAACATCTCAATTATCCCTTATTAACCCAATACATTTGTTCCCTAGGGTTTCCCTAGAAACCCATGGAAATCCAAGATTCGCAAGATTAGTTTAATAAATGAAATTAAACTTACAAACATGTTAAGAACATCAATTAGAGCACTGAAGAGTTATATGAAAGTGGAATGCAAAAACATAAGATAAGATACAATTTGGGATTTCCCCCTCATACAATGCATATAACAAAGAAGAGATTAGGGGTTAATCTCACTACCCATCCGTTATCCCATGCCTAGAACGAGATTACTTACTTCCCTCTTATTTTGGTGAATGCTAGACGAAGGACATGGATCTTCGGGGTGATATTCAATTATCTCTAGTTCTCTTAGTTCTTTAGAGTAGGAAGTGTAACAAGAGAAAAACGCATAAGCATATGAGAGAAGTTTATACATGAAAACTGATGCTAACCACTTTAAAAACTTCCCAACCTATGTTTAACCCTTTAGTAAAACACTTTAGTCATAGTCACACTTCCCTTCCCTCAAATATTAAAAATTATAAATAATATATAAAATAAACATATTTTCTGAACAAAATTATAAATAAAATAAAACACATAAAACAATTATAATAACTTTTTTTTCTCCAAATACTTATTATAAGAAAATATCATTAAAACACATTTCTCCAATTAAATATTATACAAAACAATCTCGCAAACATGTATTATTTAATTAAAAACACTCTTAATTATTAAAAGCCGCTAAAATATTTTCTAAAACTCATTTAATTAATTAAAACATCCTTTTAATAATTTTAGAAAACTTAAGGTGTTCAATGATGATGCCAACTTGAAGAATTTCTTGATATTATTTCTGGATATTAAAACTGCACAAGGGATTAGATTATATAGGCTAACCAATATGCTTACATTCCTTAAACTAGATTAAAAATATGGTAACTACTTACTATATGGTTATTTTTTATTTCCTTTTGCTTTGTTTTCAACTGTATATTTAATAAACGCAGGTATATTGTAATTTATGTATGTATATTACCGAGTCATGACTAAGCGATCTTTTCCCTATTGACAGGCAGTTGCAAGTTTGTCTTCTGGGGCATCTTATGTGTTTAGTAGCTTTGGTGATTCTGATTTCATACATCCTGAAATTGTGAAACAAGAAGCATTATTTGCAGCACCTGATGGCGGTGAATTAACTGCACAGGGGACTTTACTGACAAATAATGTCTGCCCTTTTTTTATTGATGTGACCTGCAGATTAAAGCCTATGGAGATTGTTCTTCATAATTCTAGGACAAGTGATAATTTGGAGAGTTATACCACAAAGTTCCACTCTTTAACTGGCAACAAAATGGCTGTGCATAAGTTGCCGGGCTGTGGAATTTGGATTTCTGTTCAGCAGACAACTATTGTAATATCTTGTGAAGAAGGGAAAATGGATCTCCTGACTGATTTATCAGGAATTCTGTCTTTTGTTTTTGAATACCAGAACGGAATTGAAAAAAATGCTGATCATATTGTACTTGAAAATTTACTATTGCGGTCTATTAGCTGTTTACATGAAATATCTCTTTCTGGTTGCTCGTTTACTTTATGCACGGGCCTTGTACAAAATACCTCATCTTCAGGAGATGAAAGCAAAATATTTGGTAGTTTTAATACTAATGGCAATACATCTTACTTGGTACGAGAAACTAATTTGACAGTCTTTGAAAGGTTAAGTAATCAATCTTCCCAACCAGTTATAAAATTGCGCTCTCCTACAAAAGTCAGTGTGCCAACTTCAGCAAATTACTGGTTAATGATAGATGTTGCAGTAACTAATATCTTCATAGGGAGATGCTCACTGAAGAGTGATCTGATTCAAGCACATAAATTGAATAAGCTTCAGTCTTCTCTTTCAATTTGTGGAGAGTTTCGTATGATATCCTGGGAGATCCAGGTAATTATTTAAGGAGCTAGAAAGAGAAAAATATTCTCTCAGGCATGTTCATGTATCTTTTTATTTTTTTGCACCTTTTATTATAAATAGAACCTCAGGGTGTATCTATTTTACAACTGAATCTGTTTGCTAATATCTTTGGATTTAAAATTTACATGTTATACTAAATTAGAAATGTTATTGAGCAGGGTGGGTTCATTTTTCTTGAAACAACATCTTTGGCAATGGCCATTGATAACTATTCTTCATATCTTCATTATATTGGCAATCTCACTTCTGACGCACAGCACGGATATAAAGGTGTCAAGAATGAAGAGAATGGCAGAGAGAACTATGCTTTAGATGATGTGATTGATCAAGGGACAGTTAGCACATCTCAACAAGCTGCAAGTAGATTACCAGATTCATGTCTCTTATCTTTGTCTCACTTTACTGTTGTTTTAGCTCTTGAAAACAAATCTGGTACATAATCTCATCTTTAGTTTGTAGTTTAACTTGGAAATTTTATTTCAAATATAATACAATTCACTACTGCAGGTGGTATCCAAGAAATTGTAGTAGAGGTTGACATCCATCTGAATTTTAAATTGGTGACTACGGGGAGGAAATTAACAATTGATCTTTCTTGTTTATCAATCCTATCTCAAATTATTCAAGGGAGAGCAGAAGATCAAACAGAAATTCCTCATTTTTCTTCTGTCATGTCAAAAGATTTGTCATCTCAGCCTGCTTCAGAGGATCCTCTCTCAGGATTTCAGAACTTTGGTGAACTGAACTCAATTAGTGATGCAAGTAGTTCAAAAAACAGTTTTCCTGATCAGTTAATTCATCAGAACCAAATATTGAAAAATTTAAAAGCTTTCATTTCACTGGAGAGGCCAGATAATGGTACTATGCATTTGTCCCGATGTTGGTTTGGCTTTGGTTCTCTTTCAGGTTTTGATATGACACTTTCTGTTTCTGAAATTCAGGTGAACTTTCATAGTATTATTAGTTTATTATAATGTTTAGTCAATAGTTTTCCCTGCTTGTTTCTTTTTTGAATCAAATTTGGCAGTCTTTTGTTATTGTTTTTCTTTTCCTGCTTTTACTGCTACCAAAGTCATGCATTTGTTGTAACTTATACTCTTTTATGCCAATTTGCCAGACAATTTTGTCAATGTCCTCCTCAGTATCAGGGATATCCAATCAGAATACAATAAAAAAATTGGAGAGAAATCACTGGTCTACTAGCCATGAAGTTGACAATAGTTTGGAAGCAATGATTCCTGACGGTACTCAGACTCCAGCTATATGTTATCTGTTTCTAATCTTTCGATAAATTTCAGTTTTAATTAGCAACAATCTTGTGTAGGGGCAATTGTTGCTATTCAAGATGTCAACCAACACATGTATTTTACAGTTGAAGGTGAAGAAAAGACTTTCAGTGTAGGTGGTGTCGTTCATTATTCTCTTGTAGGAGAAAGGGCTCTTTTCAGGGTATGAAATATGTCTAACATATCTGCATTTCCATTTTATTTTATTCTTTTTAATTAACTGTTCAATCTTCGGCTCTATCTCTCAATTGCTGCAAATTTTGCAGATCTCCCTCTCCTTTAAGTAATAAATTCTCGATGTCCTTGTCATACTCTTAATTATCTGTTTTAAAAAAATAAAGTAATTTTATGGTCTTAGCAATGCATTGGAGTTTATAGTTTGGATTTAACTATTCTAAAATGAGAAAGTGAGAAAGGTTGTTTCCACCCTTGATTTCTACTGAGTATATATTTTTTTTGAGCTAAACTTTCACATCTTATTGTTATTCTTCATTGGAAATATTGGTTGTTCATAGTTTTTCTACTGAGTATATTTAGCAAATGTATCAGCTAAAGCTTTTCTACAGGTCAAACACTGTCCCCAAAGGAGGTGGAAGTCTACAGTTTTGTGGTTTTCCTTTATATCATTGTTTGCTAAGAATGATATGGGTGTGCCATTGAGATTAAATTTTCGACCAGGATCATGTTTTGTTGACATCTCTTGTACAAATGATGAAGGATGTGCACTTTGGAGAGTCTATCCTCCTCAAGGTGAAAACTATGCAGGAGTCCCTGACATAGAGGCTAGCAATGAATCAATAAAGAGAACTTTCTACCTTGTGAACAAAAAGAATGACTCTGCTATTGCTTTTGTCGATGGTGCTCTAGAGTTTGTCAGGAAACCTGGAAGTCCAATCAAGTTTAAAATTTTTAATGATATTACTGCTGCTTATGATGTTCCAGAGACAGCTAGCTATCCTAGGACAGCTCCACAAACTACTCTGCACACAGAAGAAGAAAGTACTTCATGGCAGGCTGGAAAACATCCTTGTATTGATATTAAAATTGAAAAAATTTCTCTGAATATTGTTCATAAACTTTCAGATACAGAATATCTCTTCCCTCTCATTTGCTTGTTCATCAACCATACACAACTTATTATACAATGTTTAGAAACAAAATCCAGGGTCATTTGCACATCAAGTGCAGTAGTACATTATTTTGATGCTGAAAGGAACTTATGGTTAGTCTAAATTCCCATTTGAAATATATGATCCTCACACTTCTTATGCACATTTCAACTGAACTACATTCATGCTATTATTTTATTTTGTTTTTAAATCTTAGGGGAGAACTTCTCCATCCTGTTGAAATTTGCATCTTTTACCGATCTAATATTCAAGCCCAGCTTTCAGAATATAGATCTCATGCTGTGCCTGTTAATTTCTTCTGCAGAATGAAAGAGGTTGTTAGAGTTATATTTGTCTTTGTTGGCTCCTTTTATATTTGCATTTAGACACTTTTCTAAATTTTATTGATTATTTGGGCAGCTGGACATTTACTTGAATGAGAATTCGTTGGATGTGCTTCTCTTTGTGACTGGGAAATTGAACCTATCTGGTCCTTATTCACTGCGAAGCTCCATCATTCAGGCTAACTGCTGCAAGGTTCTAGACCTAGTGCATCGATGTGTTTTTACCATTATAAATAAAGAAACAAAAGAACCTAATTGATGGTCCTTTTCTCATGTTCCATTTTTTCTTAAGCTCATAATTTTTTGTGAGCTTCTCCTTGTCTATATCTTGTTTACCTGAAGTCAAATAAGCTACTATTTTAAGCTATTACAAATTAATGGTACTATTGGGTATCATTATGATCAACTAATAATAATTGCTAGATGGCAGGTGGAAAATCAGTCAGGCTTAAATCTCCTTGTTCACTTTGATCAGCAAAGTGTAACAATACCGAGAAAACAGTCTGCTTCCATAATATTAAGGTATACAATTGTGATTCATTTCCATGTATAAGACATTATCAAATATCAATGAGTCCTTGTTCTTATGCTGGACTCTGGAAAGTGTAGGCTTTCTGGCAAAGAAAAGAAATTTTGTTCCCACACTTGTTTAATTTCTATTTTCATGCAAAGCATACATACTCTATATTACTACTACTACTACTATTATTATTATTATTATTATTATTATTATTATTATTATTATTATTATTATTATTATTATTATTATTATTATTATTATTATTATTATTATTATTATTATTATTATTATTATTATTATTATTATTATTATTATTATTATTATTATTATTATTATTATTATTATTATTATTATTATTATTATTATTATTATTATTATTATTATTATTATTATTATTATTATTATTATTATTATTATTATTATTATAATAATTATTATTATTATTTCACAATCATTTGATTGGAAATTTAACTATTTGATCCAGGATATTGATTTTTGCTTAATTGAAGTTGATATTTTATTTGATGGTAGCTCTTGATAAAGTTGTGTTCATATTTTGTGCTTATTTGATGTTATTATATTGTTTTCTAAGAATCCCATTTCTCCTTTTTCTTTTGTACTCGCTTCTATTTTAGGTATAGAATTTGTGCCGTGTAATTAAGTTATTACTTATTCATTTTTGTTTGTGAAGGGATTTTTTTTAATTCTTATTGAATACCTGTGTTTTTGATGATTGTGAATTTTATGTGACAGGAGGAACTCTGATTTCAAAAATCAAGATTCAGAAGCAACTTCTATTTCTATCCAACTTACTGATTTCGGTTCTTTTGCAACTTCTTCTAATCATCTTTTACTTTCACAAACACAGACTCTTGCCTGGAGATCCCGAATTATGTCTGCAGAAGGTTTTTCTTAACTACTTTCTTTCCCATGCATTATTTTTAAACTGACATGACCTAAAATGGTCTCCGATAAAACTATTTAAAGACATTTTTTTGTTACTTTTGCAATGTTATTTCTAGAAACCTAAGCCAAGTATTTGAATTACATTTCTTATGCAGTGAATTGCCTTCAGTGAAATATTAATTTTGTTACCTTATCTTCTTGAATGGTTTATGGCGTGCAATATAAATGTGATTGTCTGACCATGATGACAATTATTGTCAAACAATATATTTCATATTCATTAATTACTATGCAGTTTTTAACCATGGTTGGAGGTATTGAGTGATTAAGGATGTTGTATGTTTTTTATATTTGCAGTTTATTTATTGATGTGCATATTTGAGATCGTGGAAAATTCGCAAAGACTGTCCTTATTATTTTCATTATTCAATGAGCAGGTTCAAGAACTTTCCCTGGGCCAGTTTTTGTGGTAAACATTTCCAGAAGTTCAGAGGTATCTGCAATGTCATTGTTCTGAATGCATACAATTTCTTTCATTTATAAGTTAATATAAATTTTGTTTGGAATGGATAGAATTAAGTAGTTAAATAGCATGAAAAATGAAATATCAAGATAAACAATATAATATTAGAAAATGAGTATATAATATTCAATAGTTTACCTGTACTTTAAGGGGTTGTTTGGTACACGAAATATTTTTTTATGCTTGAGAATCATGATTCCTAGGAGTAATGAAAATCTGTTTGATTAATTATAAAAGTTTCTTAGAATGTTTATAAAAGTTACTTGGGAATCAAATATTTTTACTACAATAAATTAAATAAGCAAATAAAGGTGAATCAAATATTTTTACTACAATAAATTAAATAAGCAAATAAAGGTGATGTGATGTTTTTATCACATTTAAACTTTATTTTTAACTCGAACATGTTAATTTCTCACCTCCATCATGGGAACAATTCTGTGAGAAACTTATGGAAACATGAAAAACTAGCATTCTCAATGTCAGGTTTATGAGAAAGTAAAAGTTTTTTGTGTACCAAGTGTCCTTTAATTGTAAATTTATTAATTAAATAAAATTGATAATAGTATATTATTAAAAAAAAATATAATAATATATTTATGAAGTAAGCAATAAATTAATAAAACTAAACATAATTGTCTACCTGTCTGAATGTGTGTGTATGTATAACAAGTCATAGAGATAGATTGCTCATCTACATCTATAAGCTTTAGTGATTTTATTTTTTATCAGGTCGGTCTGTCAGTTGAGGTTTCTCCTTTGATTAGAATACATAATGGAACTGGATTTTCAATGGAACTTCAATTCCAGCGGCTTGAGCCAAAGGAAGATGAGTGTGCATCTCTGTTGTTAAGACCAGGGGATTCTATTGATGATTCTATGGCCATGTTTGATGCCATAAACTTCTCTGGGGGAGTAAAGAGGGCTTTGATTTCTTTAAGTGTTGGTATACAGTTTGATCTACATTTACTTTTATTCACTGCTATTCCTTTTCATTTCACGCAACTTTACTTCTATTGCTATTCTCTACTATTCACGCTTAAAAGTTATAGTGATATTTTTCAAATATTATTCTACCCATTTACCATTCTAATGCATCATTTTACTGTGTGAAACATGAATATGATGATAGTGTGTATGTGGCTGCTTTTAGTATTGTTAACTCTTTTATCCTTGTTAACAATGCTGCTTTTTTCTCATTCTCAAGTATTATTCAGACAAACATTAATACCAGAAAAGGGAAGGTTTTTTTAGCACAAGGGACCCCACAAGGATCCTCTAGCCTTTAGCTTTAGCATCAATTGAATTATAAATTTAGGATTAGAGAATTAGGAAAAAAGGAAAGATATCTGATTCTATTATTGGTATGAGTGTGTGATACAATTTCTAATCCAATGATTACACTTATAATCAAGTCAAGTACTAGTACTACCAGTACAAGCCAGCCCAAGTCTACTAACAATAACACTAATAACCCTAATGTATTTATTCTCACTTTCTCAATATAAAACTTACTAAGCTATAGCTTATTACAAGTAGAAGATCCTCAAACGTAAGACAAATAATACAACTACAACCTGTATCGACTGATTAACTTAAGCAACTTTTATGCCTCTAATTGCAAGGTTGGAACTTGAGTCTCATATTGGAAGTCTGGTGTGAGGTTTTATAAGGCCTTGGGATCTCCGTTGAAGCACGGACACATTTACATAACATGGGGTGTGTCCGACATGTTTCAGATATGACACTTGCCAAATATGTCTAACACCTCTACACTGTGTCACAATTCATTTTTTTTTTTTTGTTTAGACGCCTTTTTGATAGACACCTCTTTGATACAACTTGGACACCTTTTTGACATGACTTGCACAGGGGCCAAGAGAGTGAACCAACAACTACTATTAGCTAAACACTTATTATAATTTTTTAAAAAAAATCAACTTATTTAAAAATATTGCAAGGCTCAACATTTTTTTGTGAGGCTTATTTTCATATGAATTAGCGGTTGTTTTAACTTTTAAAAGATATGATATATCTTCTAAGAATCATTATCATGTAAAAATTGTAAAGCTTAACTTTAAATGTGAATATATATAAATCTTAGTCCTTTATATCCTGTGTCGGAGTCGATGCTTCAGACAGTTACCTTTTGTAGTGTTGTTCTCCCAAGGTTCCTATAAGACAGCTCCTAGAAGTCTTTGGCCATTCTCTTGGCCTTCTTGATCTTCTTTCAGCTTTTTATTGGCACATGTCCTGACCATACACAGACACACACAGATGTGTGTGAATATATATATATACACACATTTAATGACCCTCATGACCTCCAAACTAGAACATTGGGTCTGTCCTATGCCACCCTAGTAATACAAACAAGACCCTGACTACAGTCCAAAGTCTTCAACTCATGAATCCTTGATAATAAAGCTGTTAGATATAGTTTTATCACATCGGCCTAGGCCCACTACTTTGTATATAAACATATCTTTTGTTTTGTAATACGCAAGAAAATGTTCATTGCATTTACCATTTCTCTCAACATGGTATCTAGAGCCTAATCCTTGACTTCCTGGTGGACCCATTGTTCATCAGTGCCTGTAAAACGTGTCTCATTCTGTTTTCCAGCTACCCAACTCGCCGTGCCTCTTTCCAATAGTTTTTTTCCCTGTTTTCTGGCATTGTTTTTTGGCTGTTGCCGTCGTTCACCACCACCACCTCTGTTTTCAGCCCGCGACCCACCCACCTAGCTCGCCTTGCTTCGACGAACCTAATGCCACCTATCATGCGGTGAATAGAGGTCGCACGCGCCCACACGTGCCGATCTAGTTCTTGCATCGTTTCTCTCTCCTCTTTGTCTGCTGCCTTGTGTGGCGACGCGTCAGGCCACGTTCCGGCAGTGCTCACCAGTGTCGAACTCGCCCCAATGTCCTCTACCCCTGATTTGCTATTTGTTTTGTGATCAGACCTTGTTTGTCACAGGTCTATTCCTTCTCGGTCCATTTTCTCTCTCCTATTGTTGTTTCTCTCTCCTCTTCCAGCATATATGGCTTCTACTATTGCTGTCAAGCCTGACTCCTCTATTTTTACTAACTATGCCAATGTCCCACTTTTCATTGACAAGTTAGATGGAACCAATTATGACACTTGGGCTTCTGATATCAAGTTTTGGCTTAAGGGACAGGATTATGTTGCTCTCCTTACCCAGACAGCTGCTTCTGTTTATGAGAAAAATCGTCCTCGTTGGTCAAAAATTGATGCTCAAATTTGTAGTGTCCTTAAGTCGACCATTCATCCCTCCTTAAAGCAAATTTTTTATGCTCATGAGACATGTGTTGATGTATGGGAACAGGCACGATTGTTGTACACCAATAATACTCAACGTCTCTATGGTGCGTGTCAAAATCTCCCGAGTATATTTCTCCACGACGCCTTGAGGGCTCCATGGTTGAGTATTTGGGCAAAGTTCATGGCCTTCTCCATTACTTCAATGAACTTTTGCCTCCTGCTACCACTCTTGCCAAGGAAATTGAGCAACGCCAAACTTTCTTTAAGTTGATGGCATTGTATGGACTTCCTGATGAGTACTCTTCCATTCGTGATCAAATTCTGGGATCTCCGACCGTGCCTACCTTGAACTCGGCTTGGTCCACCATGTTGCGTGTGCCTTACAAGTTTTCCCTTGATATACCTTCTTTCGCTCCCACTGGTGACTCTTCTGCTTTGGTTTCTCAATGTGATGATTATCAGCATTCTCGCAAACAAGGTTATCGAATAACCGTTATAACGGCGTTATAACGGTATGGCGGTGCGGTTTCGGGCCTCACTGCCATTTGCCATCCGAAAAATGGCGTTTTGTGGTGCCGTCTGCCATTTCCTCCATGGCGGCCGCCATGGCCGTTTTGAGCCGTTCCGCTATGAAGGCGATGGCGGACATAACGGTGTCTGGGCCAATTTTGAGCTTCGACCTAGGCCCAATAAGCATGCCTTAATGGTTTTAGGGTTCATCAATGAGAAGGCACGACAGCCACCACCACTCGCGCAGCTCATCTACCTTCTTCAACCCGTCTCCGTTGACGTTCCTCTACTGTCGCCCACCACTGCCGACCACCTCTTCGATCGACGACCTGAACTGCGGTGGTCCACGACTCCGACGACCTGAACCACATGCGCGTGAACAGGAAGAAGGTTGTTCGAAACCTCCTTTGATCATCGTTCATCATTGCCCACCACCCTTTGGTCACGTTTCTGGCCGGCGACCTGAATTGTGGTGGTCTAACGCTTCGGTGACTTAAAACCTGAAAGTTTTTTTTTTACTCGGCAGTTTTAATTCTCCTTCTCCCTTTATTTTTTCCTACTCCTTTGAGTCATTTTTTAATTTTTAATGAGTTTGTTGTTGCATCTGCAACATCAATTTTTTTAATCTTAATTCTTCTACTAATTGTTTCAATTTTAATTTCTATTTTATTTATTATTGTTCTTATTTTGTTTTTTTAGGACAATGTCTAGCAATCCTTAAACTCAAAGTCAAACATCCTCAAACTCTGTTAAAATTCTTTTTGTACTCATTTTTCTATATTTTTTGTTGTGTTTTAATCAATTATGTTATGAGACTTAATGAATTATGGTATTGTTGTTATGATATTTAAGTATTTAAGTTGATATTATGTTGGTTTTAATTTAGTTTTGTTGCTTGTTATTTATTGTTTTGCTGTTTTCTTTGTATAAAATATATATATAAATATTTTTATTATTATTATTTTTTTGTCCGCCATAGGCCGCCATGGCATCCGCCATAGAGTTATAAAGGAGTTTTGGCCTCATCGTCATAGACCGTTATCCGCCATCGATAATCTTGCTCGCAAATCGGGCAAAGGTCATCCCTAGTGTGATCACTGTCATAAACTTGGTCACACAATTGATCGATGTTACGTCTTACATGGTCGTCCCACTTGCCTTGCTACTGCTATTGTCCATGTTGCCTCCCTTGTCTCTATTGCATCTAGTGCTACTTCCTCTGATAGTTTTGGATTTGGACCTCCAACTTTCTTCCATGACTTCCTTAAATGGTATGAAGAACGTCAGGCTTCCAATTCCACTACTTCTGTTGCGTAGACAGGCCCTTCGTTTATTGGTCTCACTCACTCCACTTCTCTTGGCCCTTAGGTCCTAGATTTTGGTGCTACTGACCATATTTTTGGTAATCGGTCTCTTTTTTCTTCTCTTTCTACTTATGGTTATTTACCCTCTATCACTATGGCTAATGGCTCTCGTGCCACATCTCATGGTGTTGGTACTGTCCATCTTTCTCCTCTCTCCATTGACAATGTTCTTTATATCTTAGAGTCTCCCTTTAATTTCTTATCCCATAGTCGTCTTACTCGCTCTCTTGATTGTCTTATCTCTTTTACTAAAGATTCTGTTTTCTTATAGGACCGAAGTTTGGGATGGATGATTGGCACCGGATGCGAGTCCCATGGCCTTTATCACCATGCACTTCTACTCCTGTTGGTTTGGTGGTGGATTCCCCTTCTCTCATCCATGCCCAATTAGGTCATCCTAGCCTTGCCAAGCTTCAACACCTTGTACCACGTCTGTCTAAATTGTCTCATTTGTCGTGTAAGTCGTGTCAATTAGGCAAACATAGTCGTTGTTTCTTTTCTCAGAGTGTCCCCAGCCGAATGTTGTCTCTTTTTGCTTTAGTTCACTCTGATATTTGGGGGTCGAGTCGGGTTAGGTCCACTTTAGGATTTCATTATTTTGTAACTTTTATTGATGATTACTCTCGATGTACTTGGCTATTTTTAATGAAAACTCAATCCGAATTATTTTCCATATGTCAATCTCTTTATAATGAAATTCAGAAACAATTTGGTGTTTCTATTCGTACTTTTCGTAGTGATAATGCTTGTGAAACCTCTCTCACTCCTTTCAAGCTTTCATGGCTTCCCATGATATTCTTCATCAGACCTCTTGTGCATATACCCCTCAACAAAATGGGGTGGTCGAGTGCAAAAATAGACACCTAATTAAGACCACTTGCACCCTCTTACTTTATGGTCACATTCCTCAACCTTTTTGGGGTGATGTTGTTCTCACTGCATGCTATCTCATCAATTGAATGCCATCTTTTGTCCTCAA